TGCAACAGGGTTTTTAGAAAGGAACTATATTAGGGATCTTGCACCCCTGCAGCCGCAGGGCAAGGATGGGTTGGGTTGTCTTACCATGATGCCAGTTGCAGAAGCAGGTCAAGGAAGTCAAGGTGGCAGCCTCAATCACATGGCTGTGGCTGCTATCTTGATCTTTTCGGACCCCCCCCCCCCCCGGGTACTCCCTGCTTGCCAAACAGTGTTCCCTTCCAATTAGCCAATCAGAAGAACCCAAAAAATCTGGGCAACCAGTTCTTCCCTTGTGACTGGCCATTATGAAAAAGAGTGTCAGGGCCACTCCTCAGTGGGACTGTGGAGAACAGGGTAATGATGATAAGGCCTAGTGGTGGCTTACTTCTTACTGGTGGTGGGGACCTCAGCAGCCTGGAGATGGTAGGCAACAGGAGTTTCCATCAGTGGGAAACTAATCCTCCCACACTTCCAAGAAAGGCTGCAATCCTGTTTTTGTAAGGTTTCTGTGGATCAGGAGCTGAAAGTTAATGAGCTGTGTTTTTCAAGCCCCTGAGGAGGCCCATGACACAATGGGGATATGTGTGTATGTGTGTGTGTGCATCAGTCTCAGATTGGCAGGATCCATGCAGGTGGAAGGGCCTAAATCTCCTGTAGGAAATGTCATCTCCCTGCCAGCACAATGTGAAATTCCTTCGGAACTATTTAAACATTTTGTCAGTTTCAGCTAATATTATGCTGAAGTGTTAAATCTTAAAAAAGGAGAGAAAGAGTGGGAGATTGCCATAAAGTGGTGCCAAGAAAGGTGGGAGAGAGGAAAGAGGAAAGAGCAACTGTGACTGGCTGAAGTTCCAAAACCAGTTTAAAACAGTGCAGAATGAGCTTCCTAGGATCTTTCAAAGGCAGCCGGATCCGGAGGAGCAATGCAGTTCTGCAGTTCCTCCTTGTCTGCAGAAATGAAGCATGAACAACATCATCTGGGTGGTGGAAAGATATGTTTCTTCCCCTATCAAGATAGGGAAGTCTCTTCAGCTCCTATAGCATCTTGTCTATGTTCCCCATCCATCTCTTTGCCGTAGACAGGATGCTGTAGGAGCCAAAGAGACTTCCCTAACCTGATTGGGGGGGTGGGGGAGGAATATCTTTTCACCCCCTAAATGATGTTGCTCACCTTTCATTTCTGCAGGCAAAGAAGAGTTTCAGAGCTGCATTGCTCATCTCAATTTGGTTGCCTTTGAAAGAAAGTCATTGGAGGCTTATTTTGCATTATTTTTTAACCAGTCTCAGAATTTTAGGTGGTCACAAATTGCACATGAATCATGAGTCAGCAGTGTGGTTGTACAAAAAAAAAAAGAAAGGAAAGGAAAGGAAAGGAAAACGGAGTTTTTGGCTGCATCATTGTTTCTAAATGATGGGAAGTAATACAGTAGTTCCATTCTATTGTGCATTGCTCAAATCCCACTTTGAATGCAGTATCCACTTCTGCAATCTATTATATATTGACAGGGGGTATAATTTAAAACTTCTTTGGCAGACCGCTTCTTTCAAGGGTTGCCCAATAAAAATTGGCTTCCCCCAGTCAGCAAAATCTTCTGACAACCCTAGTCTGCCCAACATGGGGACTCTTGGTACAGCTGTATGGGGATCCAGATTTGGGCAAAATGGGACCAAGAGCGTGCTGATTGCACAACAGCACCAGTTTTGTTAAGCACCTTCAACAAAGAATGTTTTTTTCCTATTATTGCACAGCAACACAAATCTAGGAAAAGATACAGCTGCTTTAATAGGTTCTCGACAGGTGCTACGTGTGCACCTATGCTTGTTCCAAATCACATTTTGCTTGTTGAGTCTTAGCCCTCCTACCAAGAATTTCTTTCTCCAGCCCAGCCCTTAGAAAAACAGAAAGGGTTTAAATCTTACTGCCAGAAATGAAGGCCAGAAATGAAGAACTTTTTTTCACAAAAGCAAACATCCAGAAAACACAAGGCATCTCTTTTGTAGTTTTGCAAGTAGGAAAATTTTGAAGAATTTCTTTATTAAAGCAGTGAACCCAAATTGCTAGATATGGAAAGGACTGGTCTGAGAAAGGAGGAAGATACAGAGAAATATGGGAAGCTAACCCCCCCCCCCGAATTCCAAAGAAAATCAAGCCAGTCTGCTCAGTGAAAGGACTTACTTATTATCTGCTTGGGATTAGACAGGTTCAGAACATCTCCAGGGTTCATTGCAGAGAAGATAATTGGAGAAAGATCAGCCAGGATTTCTACTTGGATATTGCTATGAAAAAAGACTGAGAAAATTGGGTATGCTTAGACTCAGGAAGAGAAAACTAGACGTGGGAGGACAAATATGATAGCATTCTAGCAACTCAAATGAATGTCACACCAAAGGTAGCCAAGGCCAGTTCTGTCTCATTCCTAAGTAGACACAGAAGAATGAAATGTCTTGGTGAATATTAGGAATCACTTCCCAAGAGCAGCTCAACAGCTGGATCATTGACCCAAAGAGTTGGTGGGCTCCCCTTATCGGATATCATGTCAAGCAATGGCTGGACAACCATCTCTCCCAGGGATACTGTAAATTGGATTCCTGCACTGTTCAAGGAATGGGAATCAGTGGCATCAGTGCCTCTTTCCATCTTTAGAATTTCTTGGTAAATGAAGGTTGAGCGAAGATACTGGCACTGCCCCTATGCCAATGTCTCCTGGGCACAAAAATCTCCCAACATCTGTCAAGGCTGGGAAGAGATGGCGGGAAGCACAATGAAACTTACACACCATGGTTCTGGCAGCCTAAGATGGAAAACCTATTTGTTTTAAGGAATGCAAAACAATCAGATAAGACCATTTAAACCACAGTCTGGTGATAAAATAGGAGTAACAACTAACAGTATGGTGTGAAACTGGGATTAACTAGTTGTTCTGTGCTGCTGAAAATTGCAAAGGAAGAAAGGCCCTAGGTTTTTTCTTTTTCTTCACTTCATCTTCAATGCCAGCTTCTTAAAATAGATCAGATAGTCCATTGCAATATGCATAATCAAGGATGCAAGTCAGAACAGTTGCTCAGCCAAAGAATAAACATGAAGAAGCCCCCCTAAAGCCACTTTTTCACATACAACCTGACTGATGTTCTAAGGTTTTCTTCTGAGACCATTCCCTTGCTTCTCTCACTATCAAGAGCATATAGCTGGGCAGGCCTTTTATAGCAAAGCACTGGAATTACATTCTTAGAGAAGTCTGCTCTATACCCTTTTTGCTGATGTTCCCAAAGCTGAGAAAAGACAGCTCTCTTTGGAGAGCTTTTGCAGACCTCTGGCTATTCCCAGTATCTGAAAAGGATCACATGTGTTTGGTGGCTTCTTTCAGCTTTTGACGCTAACTATAGCTTGATTGATTATGTGACATCACGTCAGTATTGACTCTTAGCAACCACACAGATGGCCCTTCTCCAAGATGATCTGGCCTCATCTTGGTCCTTCAGGGCTCTCAGTGATGCACCCAACGCTGCTGTAATTGAGTCTGTCCGCCTCACTGAGGGCCATCTTCTTCTCTTTCTTTCTGCCTTTCCCAGCATTATGGACTTCTCAAAAGGGCTGCATCTTTGCCTAATGTGTCCAAAATACAGTAATTTGAGCTTGGTCATTTATGCCTCAAGAGAGAACTATGGATTGATTTGTTCCATGATCCATTTGTTTGTTTTCTTGCTATCCATGGTATTCTCCAGAGTCTTCTCCAGTGCTGAAGTTCAAAAGTGGCAATACTCGTTCTAGTCTTTTTCTTCAGAGTCCAAATTTCTCTTCAATAAAATAGCACAAGGAAAACAACTGCCCAATGATTCTGATCTTTGTAAGTACAGATACACCCCAGCATCTGACTATCTTTTCCAAGGCCTTTGTTGCTCCCCTACCACGTACTAGTCTGTGGTATATTTCTTGACTGCAGGTTCCTTTCCTGTTGATAGTTGATTCTAAAAGGTAGAAACTATCTACTACTTCAGTGTCTTCATTGTCAGTTCTAAGGCTGGTAGCTGTACCTGTTGTCATTAGCTTGATCTTCTTTATATGTAATTGTAGTCCCCCTTTTCATGTTTTTTCTTGACCTTCATTACTAGAGCTTGCAGATCATCTGCATTTGCATTCTCAGCTATTAAAGTAGTGTCATCAGCATAGCACAGATTATTGTTACTTCTTCCTTCACTTCTTCCATTTGCAAACCCATACTCATCTTCTCCCAACCAGCCTTCCTTGATATATATGCAGTATATGACTTAAATACATAAGATGGGGTATACAGCCTGGTCTCGCTCCTTTCTCTACCGAGGATCAATTTGTTTCTCCATGTTTCATCCAGACTGGGTCTTCCTGTCCTGGGTACATTTTGTGTGAGGACAATGAGATATTCTGAGATTCCCATTTTCCTAAGAATTTTTCACAGCTTGTTATGGTCAACACAACCAAAGGTTTTTCTATAGTCAAGGAAGCACACATTGACTTCTTCTTGGTATTCTTTGGCCTTCTCAATTATCCGCTATGCATCAGCAGTAATAACTCTTGTTCACTGGCCTTTTCTAAAACCAACTTAAGCATCTGGCATTTCCCTTATCCCTAGTCTCCATTGGATGATCCTAAACATTATCCTGCCAGTATTGGAAATTAAGGATATTATGTGATAATTTACACTCTATTAAGTCTCCTTTCTTTGGTATTGTTATGTAGACCAGAGTCTTCCAATCTATTGGCCACCATGTTGTTCTCCAGATTTGCTAGCATAGTTTACTTAGAACCTTCACTGATTGCTCTTCTGTTGCTTGCCATATTTCTGTAAATATTCCATCAATTCCTATAGCCTTTTGACTTGATAATGACTGGAGTGCTGACTTCATGTACTTCTAGAAACTCTTGTAAATAGGAAATATTTTCTAAGGTATCTTGGATGTTGATGTCCCTACTGTACAGAATTTCAGTATACACCTCCTATTTCTATTTGATCTTCTTTGAATCAGTTTTTATCTGTCCATTGGAATCCTTCAGCATACCACTGAGAGACTGGAACCTGCTTCTGAGTTTAGAGATATTCTGGAAGATTTTCCTTGTTTTTTTCTTGTCTATTTTCTCTTTTCAATGTCTTTACTGATATCATTGTACTACTGCTTCTTGTGTTTTCTAATAGTCCTCTGAAATTCTTTGTTCTTTCCTGAGTTCTTTGTCTTTCTTCGTTTGGCTTCTCTTATCCTTTTCACAATTTCTACCATTTCTCTTCTCTTCTTGGCTATTTCTACAGTTTGCTTTCTTGTTTCTTGGTCTTTAGCGATCCGTTTTCACATTCATCTGCAACAACAACAACTTTGACTTCATTCCACAGTTTCTTTGGTTCCCTATGAGTGAGTTTTGGGACTTCAAAGTGACTCCTGATGTTCTCCTTGAAAATGGTGGGCATATGCTCAAGGTCATATCATAGAAAGTGATTGGCTTTGTTTTTCCACTTTAGCTTCCTGTGGAACTTGACATGAGCAATTCGTGATCTGTTCCTCAGTCAGCCCCAACCCCATCTTTGCTGTTATAACTTGTACTGATAATATAGGTCATTTGATTTCTGTGTGCCGTGTCTGGAGATGTCCATGTATATAGGCATTATTTTGGTTGGCTCCAACCATACACTGTACATCTTGCTTGCCTGTTCTGTGATTCCAGATTGAACTTCACCATAACATTTGTCATCTTCCTTCTGCATCAGTTGTTGGAGCATAAACGTGGATAGTTGTCATATTAAAGGACTGTCTGCAAAGTTTAATTGATAGTATTGGTCATTAACTGCATTGTACTGCAAAGTACTGTCTTTGCTATATCCTTCCTGACTCTGAAAGTAATGCTGTTCCTTCTTTATTTTTCATGTTCTAAGTAGTAAATAGTATGACCTTCTGACTGAAAGTGTCCAACTCCAATCCATCTAAATTCACTAACAACCAACATGTCCAAGTATAGATGACTCATTTAACCTTTCACTGTGTTGAGTTTTCCCACGCTCACGCTTCTCATGTTCCACGTTCTCACTGTAGCTTTGTCCTTGCAACTTTGGATTTTCTTTTCCTACACAGCAACATCAGCAACTAGACATCCCAGATGCTTTAATCTAGCTGTGTCATAAACACCGTGACTACTCCAAAGGATCCCCAGCTCTTCTTCTGTACATGTTGAGTGCCATCCGACCCAAGGAGCCCATCATCTAGCACAATATCGTCAATCATTTTATATTGTCGATCCGTTTTTATTGGTAAAATATAGATTTATCACTGCCTTCTCCCATGCAAATGATGTCTTTGTACTCTCCCTACGGTTATTATCCGCCTCCTTGATCTTCCTATCTTGCTACTGCCCAATATAGATGTTTGTCTGCTTTATTTAGGTACCTGTGTAACCCTGCTGGGAGTAAATATTCTTGGTGTACATTCCCAGCATTCTTCGCTCTTCCCTTCCCAGAATGCCCACCACTACCACATGATGAGACAACATAGCAGGACATAGAGGGGTGTTGCGGGGGGAGTTAAGCAATGGTTCTAAGCAAGGAAATGGATCCCATATCTAAAAAGCAATGTGGAAGTATGGTCAAGCATCCACATCAGAGCTTCTGAGGTTATGCAGGGTATCTCAAAGGGAAGCAAGTATGGCTCATGGATTTCCTTGGAACCTGATGGTGTTAAGAAACCACATGAAGCTGCAATCTATCAAGGTAGCCCTACTGGCTCCTTTATCAAATGTTGCTGATCCTAGCACTCCAAAATCTAATGAACTTTTAAAAAATGAGGGGATTTTGGTTAAATTGTCAAGAGTTCCATTTCAAGCTATCTTACAGTTGCAGATCTATCCTGGTGGTTAAAGGCCCTATAGAAGAAAGAACTGCCCCCCCCCATTCCCTTATTCTGTTACTCATGGGGCTCTCTGAATTTGACTTGGGGGGTTCAGTTAAATATTTCCTCATTTTAATGAAGTTTCTGCTTGCTTTATTTCCATATTAATGCTGGCTTGTCCATTGTGTAGAAAGTTGATCAGAGGTAAAGTGGGCTGACAGTTACTAGCACAATGTCCACCTACCTAACTCTGGTGGCTAAGGATGGGCCTCAGCCCAGTACCTTAATCACTGCACAACCAGCTTTTCTGTTTTCTTCTACTTTATTCTCCCACAACAAACACCTACAAAGAACAAAAAGATACTGCACAATGCCTTTTAATGGCTTTTGTAGAAATCTGTCTGGAATCAGCCAGCTCCTACCAAAGCCAGTTCTGGATCTTACACC